AATAGATTTACTGATTTCATACAGTACATGTACGTCTAAAGCACTACATTTTGAACTGTTTTATTAGGAACCTGGAAAATGATGTTTAAAAAATGAAGATTAAAAATTACAAACGCCAAGAAAACAATTAATGCATTTCTGATAAAGTGGTTAATATTGATCTGCATGGGGATTATGGCTGGAATATAATGGTTACACATCCCATACAAATTCAATTTCACCCTTTTAGATAAAAATATGGGTAAAATTACTTATATATGGGGCTTATGGCGGGAATATCATGCTAACTTTTAACCTATTTCAGATAAGCAAATAAATATAATTATTTTTATACATGGGTATTATGGGTGCATTTTGTGGATACACATGTCAAGGATTGATGATTAAAATAGTGCAGCGCTCAAAACAATAATGTATAAAACAACAGATGTGCTCACATGCATTAGTGTCACAAAAAATATTCAAAAATAAATAATTAAGTGAAATATCTTATCTGTACAAGTGCCACTCAATAATGATTCTAACATATTTGTGCCCACATATTCAAAAAAATTATATATAGTATCTATTAATAACTACCATATAGTATAAAACACATACATATACCAGTGCTCCAAGTGCAATACCGTGACCACACTTAGTATACTACTCAAAAAACTCAAACGAACTAAATTGTCCCAAAAAAGCTGATAATAATAAGTCCATGCAATGTGTAAACAAAGTGCAAAAAAAGTGTTCACATTCAGTGCGCCAGCACCTCTTCACCTCCTAAGGCTAGATTGCCTCCTCACCTCCTTAATGCGACCCCTAAGGGCCAAACAGCTTTCAGGATCACTCTGGATCCTTATCCCCTGGCAGTAAACACTTCTCCTCACGTTGTGGATCCCTTTAGGGGACTTCCATTACCCCCGATCAGAAACCTCTGGAGGACAATCGCTCACCAGCCAAGTGAGCAGAAAGAAAAGAATCCTCTAAGTGTAGTATTTAAAGCCAAACACTTTAATGGATTATATTTGTCAAGGATTATATTTGATCTACTTCTGAAAAGATTATCGGTATAGTTATTTTTTTTAGATGTGGATTATGGGTGGAATGTCATGGTTAAACAAGCCTAGGAACACATTTGACCCCTTTCTGATAAGAATATGAGAACAGCTATTTTTCTACAAGGGGACTATGGGTGGAATATTATTTTTCAGCATGCCTAGGAACACATTTGACCCCTTTCTGATAAAAATATGAGAATAGTTATTTTTCTACATGAGGATTATGGATGTATTATGGTGGACACACATGACAAGAGCCATATTTAACCTATTTCTGAAAAGATTATGGGCATAATTATTTTTCTACATGGGGATTATGGGTGGAATATCATGGTTAAACATGTCTAGGAACACATTTGACCGTTTTCTGATAAGGATATAAGAACAGTTATTTTTCTACATGGGGATTACGGGTGGATGATTGCAGATACACATGCCAAGGACCATGTTTAACATGTTTCTCCTAAGAATATGGGCATAGTTATTTTTCTATATGGGGATTATGGGTGCAATATCATGGTTAAACATGCCTAGAAACACATTTGACCCTATTCTGAAAAAAATATGAGAACAGCTATTTTTCTACATGGGGATTATGTGTTTATTATGGTAGATACACATGCCAAGGAGAAGGAGAAAAATTACCTGTTTGCAAAATTTTATAATAGAAAACAAAGAAAAACTTTTTTTTTCAAATGTTTTGCTCTTTTTTTGTTTATAGTGCAAAAAAATTAAACACCCAGTGGTGATTAAATACCACCAAAAGAAAGCTCTATTTGTGTGAAAAAAAATGATAAAATTTTCATATGTGTACAGTGTTGCATGACCGCGCAATTGTCAAAGTGCGACAGAGTTGAAAATTGTCCTGGGCAGGAAGGGAGAAGTGCCCGGTAGGCAAGTGGTTAATCTATTTTTTTAAAGATTTTCCAGGTTCCTAATAAAACTGTTCAATATGTAGTGCTTTACACATACTGCACTGTATGAAATCAGTAAGTCTATACCTATTAACCTCCCTAGCGGTCTGATGTCAGTATTTCTGTGCTCAAAGCGGTACATTTTTTTGCATGGAAATATGTATTTTTTTTATTGTAGGCCTGTAATTTTTAGGAATAACTCACTGAAATCTGTCCGAACAAAAGTCTAGTAAACATACCGGGTAGGATAAAACTTGAAACACGAAATCATAAATTATAATTTAATAATCATAAAAAATAATATAATAATAATAATAAATTTAATTCAATAATATAATCAAACCAAAAACACTGAATTTTGAAATATAGCGCCAAGTTCGCACATCACTGGGCAAAGTCGCAAAATCGTTTTCAGTGTCTGATGACGAATTTCCGCACAAATCATTATCACTCAATTCTCCAAGTGGTTCTGATTTATGATCGCTGTTCTCTAGCTGGTCTAAAACCGCTTTTGACCTAAAGGGATGCTTTTTGGACGCCATGGACGTTTCTCAGTTTCCAGGCAGAAAGAACAGTAAAAATGCAGGCAGGGCGCAGGACAAAGCACTCGGGACAAAATGTATGTGAAATGGTTTGATACAGTAATGTTTTACTATGTGATTTTAGTGTATCTAGTGAATGTCACTTTTTGTCATTTTCAAATTTCCCGCCGTTCCGTCCCCCGTACGTCCTGACGCTCGCAGGGAACGGAACCCAGGAGACAGATGCGGGCATGCGGGCATCCGCCGGATTACATTGCCGGGGACACTGCAGGAGGGACATCGCGGGAGCGCAGGACAAGGTAAGTGATCGAGGGATCACGGAGCAGCGCTGCAGGGTATTCCCGAGTGTAGCTCGCTGGTTACCGCTTGTGGTACTGAAACTTTACCCCGAGCTACACTCGGGAATACCGCCAGGGAGGTTAATATATGGATTCATGCTTCCATTCTTTCTGTATAATTTACTATGATGCCATTTTCCAGCTGCACATTTTTCAGTGAAGAGGTAAGCATTAGCCACTACTACTTGCAACAATGTATCAAGACTGAGAAAAAGGAAAACATATTTTGAGTAACAAGAAAATCATTATCATATATGTGTGTAAACATATACTGCCATCTACTGAGAGTGTTGAACGTTGCAGCCAATAATCCCATCATCCCAATATGCAGTTTAGTATGTCCCCCAAAAACTGACCTGGTCATGAAGCAGGCAAACTCTTCCTGAGCTTAAAGCGGAGTTCCACCCAAAAGGGAAAGTTCTGCTTTAACCACTTCATGTTCCGGACACTTTCACCCCCTTCCTGTCCAGGCTAATTTTCAGCTTTCACCGCTATCACACTTTGAATGACAATTGCACGGTCATGCAACACTGTACCCATATGAATTTTTTTGCATTTGTTTGAGACAAATAAAACTTTAGTTTGGTGGTATTTATTCGCTGGGGTTTTTATTTTTTTTGCTATGTAAATGAAAAAGTCCAAAAATTTTGAAAAAGTGTTTTTCTTATAAAATTTTGCAAATAAATATTTCATCATAAATCTTGGCCAAAATGTATTCCGTTATCTTCATAGTAAAAAAAAACCCAAATTAGTTTATAACCAAAAATTATAATTTTTAAAAACTTTTTTTTTTTACATTTTTATATTACTATTTATGTTTTGTTTTGTTTTTTTATACATACTGTCACCCTAGCAGTACAGTGTCACCATGGTGACACTGTACTACTTGTGGGGGGTGATGAAGATTTCTTTTTTTACACTGATTGCTTTTACACCCATAAAAGCTCTAAAATCAATCATTTCTCCTTCTATTTGGCTGCATTCTTGCAGCTATTGAGAACTACTGTGCGAGCTGTGATTGGTCACAGCTTGTCACATGGTACAAGGCTGTTGTGAATAGCCTTGTACCATGTGGCCTCTGTGACCATTCATAGATTTCACATGTAGTAAGCAAGGATGTCAGAAGTGACATCCTTGCTTACTACTCTGCATGTGATCACTGATTGGCCAATCAGTGATCACATGATCGAGACCTCTCACAGAGGTCCTGTCTGACAATCGGTGTTCCACTGTGTCCGGAGGACACAGCGGGCACCGGATCGCGGTGCTGCACGCTCCCAGGGAGCGCGCACAAGCAGGAGGCGGTTAAAGATGTGTCCCCAGCTCCCCATTAAGGATTGGCACCTTTGGGGAGTGGGTACCCGAATTTGATAGGTACCCACTCTCACTTCCGCTGTGATTGCCTAGGCGATCGGAAACAGAAGTTGTCTTCCCCCCTCGAAGTCTTGTGGGACATGTGACAGGTCCCAGAAGACGATGGGGCCATTCAGGAAGCGCAGCGCTACTCGTGCATGCGCAGTGGGCACTCAGCTGTGAAGCCGCAAGCTGTCACAGCCGGGTGCCCACACTGAAGATGCCGGCGCCTGGAATACAGGACGGCCAGTGAAGCGGGCTACGGGAAGGACAACACGTGATCTTGGGACAGGTAAGTGGCTATTATTTAAAAGTCAGCAGTTACAGTTTTTGTAGCTGCTAACTTTTATTTTTTTACAGAGTGAGCGGGAACTCCCCTTTAAGTGGTTAAACATCCGACCCTGGGGGGAATTGGGTCCACAATATAGGAGTTTTAGGACTGCTGGGATCCAGTCACTGGTTACACCATGAGCACCCTTCCCCCTCTCACAAGCCATTACCCTGCATGAAGTTGGCGGAGCCATCCGGCCGGCTCAGCAGGCTCTGCTCACAGCCAACCTCCCGCAAACTCGACTCTGCCGCCTCCATCCTTCTCCTGACAACACGTGCAGGTCACTTCCGGTGTCCTCATCCCGCCCCGGGCTGCCCTTCTCGTGCCTGGCCGGCGGAATGGTGAAATATCCCCCTCACTGTGAGCAAGTAGAGGTGTGCGGGGAGTTCCTATAGGCTGAGCTCGGAGTAAAAATGCCTGTGTGGAGTTGGGGGTCCTAAATGAGAGCGGGCAGGTTTGGGGCAGTGTGAGGGAAGATGGCGGCGCTGAGGGCACTGCTGAAGCTCCGGGCTCCGGCTGCATGGAGGGGGATGGTGGGCAGGCAGGTGAGTGGTGCTGAGGTGCGGAGTATATCTCTGTATATGGTGGGGGGAGTGTATAGAATGAACACCTTGCAGGGGGTCTGTCTGTATGTAGAGGTGACCATCCAGTCTCCTGTACAGCCCCCCAGGTGTGGACTTTATTGCAGTGATGTTGGTCCAGCTTGGCACGGTGTGAGTATGTCCAGGGGCAGACTGACACCTCATGGGGCCCCCGGGCAATAGGGGATCATGGGGCCCCTGTGTCCTTGCCCAAACTCAAAAAAGCCTATGAAAAAGGTACCAGGGGCATCTCATGGGGCCCCCTACTGACCCCGGGCCCTCGGGCAGTGCCTGAGTTTCCAAATGGTCAGTCCGCCCCTGAGTATGTCTATTATATCCCTGAGTAGAAGATGACAATCAGTGTAGTAGTTGGCGCTACTACAGTAATGGCCACGGTCTTCTGGGTCCTGTGCAGTGTGAGCGCCCCCTGTGGGCACTGAGCACTAGGAATTACCGGAGTAGCACCAATGCTGGCTTCCTGGCCCCGCACCGGACAAGTACCCCCTGGGGTTGGTATACAGAAGGACAGATGCACCTCACAGCACCTGAAGTCCGCAACCATCATTGTAGTAGCGCCAACTACTACAGGGGTTCCTACTGCTTTTTAAACATTGGGGGGTTGCTTGCTCAGTACAACCTCCATTCACAGAACGCCTTGTATCTTTCTTAATGAGTGCAAGGCATTCTCTGATTGGATGAGCTGGAGATTGTGACAAATCTGTCCTGCCGCTCCACCTCATTCAATTGGAGAACCCCTTCATTGTGAAAGATACAAGGCATTCTGTGAGTGGTGGCAGTGCCGAGCAGGCGACCCCCTGTGGTCAGTGTGCAGAGGGGAAGCCACTTGGCACAGAATGCAGAAGATGGACCCGACCATTGTATGTAGTGTGAACTGGGTTCTGTGCCAAGCGGCTTCCCTTCTGTATAGTAACCACAGGGGGTCGCTCACTCGGCACTGCCACCATTCTTAGAATGCCTTGCATTTTTTTTACGTGCATACAATACGTTCTCAAATTGGACAAGGTGGAACTTGTGAGGTTACCACAAACCTCGTCCAATCGCACAACGCCTTGTATTTGTTGAAAAAATACAAGGCACTCTGTGATTGGCAGCAAGCCTAGCGAGCGACCCACTGTGGTTACTGTATGACGCTGCTTGGCACACACACGGGTTTGCTCACTCAGCTCAACTGCCATTCATAGAATGCCTTCTGTATTTTTTTCAATGAACATAAGGCATTCTCTGATTGGAGAAGGTGCAGATTGTGATGTTAGCACCTGCCTCTCCACCTTGTCCATTCACAAAATGCCTTGTATTCATGAAAAAAAAATCTTTCTCTGAATGGTGGCAGAGCCGAGTAAATGACCCCCTGTGGTCACTATGTAAGAAGTGGCATCAACTACTACAGCACTTCCATAGCAGCCTCTGTCGGGTATAAAGACTATGCAAACTTACACTGTGCTGATCTGGGCTTGTGTACACTTGTGGTTGGGTGGTAAAAACACATGATTGAGCTGCATTTTTCTCCCCCCTTTCGTTCCATTGTAATGCGTTGAATGGGCTGCCTTAATGCAATGCACACTAGAAAAAAATATTGTTGCAGGTTGCTTTAAAATAATTGGGCCTTTAGACAATTCTACTTTCAGACACAATAATAATTACTGGCTAAGTTTTTAGTTCTTTAGTTTGTTTTTTTGTTTTTTAATCGGCACAAGGGACAATACTTGTATTGAATGAACAAGTGTCCCTTGTGCTTGTGGCTCTATTAGTTGAAATCTTCATTTCTTTGTGCCCCCCCCCCCAACTCCCCTCAATACCTCAACTGAATGAAAGGTCCATCTCCTCCATTCACAGCTTTTCATTGAAGGAAGTTATAATACTAATTCTATGAATGGAGGAGGGGGTGGGAAAGGCGGGCAAATGCAGCACTTTTGCTGAGTGCCTGTGACTGGTCCATCGTCTGTATTAACCCCTGCAGGACAGCAGATTTAGTGCCACATTATTATTATTATTATACAGGATTTATATAGCGCCAACAGTTTGCTCAGCACTTTACAATATAACGGGAGACAAGACAGCAACAATAAAGTTCAATACAAAGGGATAGGAGGGCCTGATCCTGGGAGCTTACAATCTAGGAGGGAGGGGCTAGTGGTACAAAAGGTAGTAACTGTGGGGGATGGACTGGTTGGAAGAGTAGAAGATCCCATTATTAGCTGAGGGCAGGATAGGCTTCCCTGAAGAGATAGGTTTTCAGAGATCACCTAAAAGTGAGCAGTGTAGGCGACAGTCTGATAAATTGGGGTAGAGAGTTGCAGAGGATGGGGAAGCGCTGGAGAAGTCCTGCAGACGAGCGTGGGAGGAGGAGACAAGGAGCTAGAGAGTAGGAGGTCGTGCGATGAGCGTAGAGTACGGTTTGGGTGATATTTGGAGACAAGATCGGAGATGTAATTTGGGGCAGAGTTATAAATGGCTTTATACGTTATTGTTAATGTTTTGAATTTTATCCGTTGGGCAATGGGAAGCCAGAGGAGGGATTGGCAGAGAGGGATGGCGGATATGGAACGGTTAGTAAGGCGGATGAGTCTGACAGCAGCATTCATGATAGACAGAAGAGGGGATAGCCTGCGATGAGGTCGGCCAATGAGGAGGGAGTTACAATAGTCAAGGCGAGTGATAACCAGGGAGTGAATAAGTTGCTTAGTGGTTTCCGAGGTTAGGAACGGGCGTATCTTGGAGATGTTGCGGAGGTGAAGTCTACAAGATTTGGACAGCGATTGGATTTGGGGCTGAAAGGACAGATGGGAGTCTAGGATTACACCTAGTACCCTGGCATGAGGGGAGGGACTGATGGTCGTATTATTGATCTTGATGGAGAAGTCAGGGGAGGGGGCACGGGCTGGAGGGAATAGTATGAGCTCAGTTTTGGAAAGATTGAGTTTGAGGAAGTGGAGTGACATCCATGCCGATATGTCGCTTAGTAGGTTAGTAATGCGAGAGGAGACTGAAGGGGTTAAGCAGTGATGTTGGTCCAGCTTGGCACGGTGTAAGTATGCTGGAAATCATTTCAAGCGCTCTGATTTTCCAATCATTGATGAAGTGAGTAGCCAGTAAAGAAGAATTCTCAGAATAAACAATCTATCCTGGCTGGGTGACATAAAACAATCCCACTGTGACACATGCAGTAGTGTGCAGAATTTTTCCGTCGTCTTTATTCTTGTACAAGCTCCAGCCATGCACTGCTATGGGAAGCGAATGTAAAGGGTGACACTGTGTATATGTACAGCTGTCAGCGTCCTGATAAAAGGAAGGTCAGTTACTGCCTGAGGAGGCTTGCCTGCTGTGTGAGTGCTGATTGGCTGACTCCCAAAGGGCGTAGAGAAGGCCGGTGTGGCTGGTTCTGCCTCTTAGATAATACAATGCTGCTTGTGACCGGGGATCGCTGGAGACAACTCGTCTACATACACAGCACATGCCTTGGGTTTAAAAAGAATAAAAAATAAAAAAAAGTTCTAGTGACCTACATAAAAAGTCATTTTGTTTTATGTTAGTTCAATACAGTCTGAGAAATATTTTTATTTTTCAATTTCTCCAGCAGCCCATCAGCTATGAGATATGAATACTGACTTAGTACCAAGCTGCACCAATATGACTGTGCAATACAAATCATTCCTGGAGTTCAACTTTAACCACTTGCTGACCACTGTATGTAGATATACGGTACATTCTGCGACCAAGTGGTTATATCAAGATAATGGCTGCAGCCATTTATTTATTTTCATTTTATTACAGGTACTATAGTATAGTTCTGTCAAATTACGCAGCACATTACATATTTATTATGCATTCAGTCCTTGCCCTCAAGGAGCTTACAATCCAACCCCCGGTTCGCATCTGTGCGGGTGGTGCCGCTGCGGATCCGCACAAAAATCCATGCAGCCGCACCGCCCGCACAGAGAATTGCTGACCCGTGGGTGGGTGCTATTAGTTCTAATGGCACGCCGCCCGCACTGGGAAACGCAACTGTACTGGGAACCGAGGTTCCCGTGCGGGCTTCGTTTTCCAAAGTAGTGCATTGACGCACGGCCGCATAGGTGTGAACCTAGGGTAAGGTTGCTAACTCATATTCATGCATACTAGGGCCAATTTAGACAGCAGTTAATTAACCTACCACCATGTCTTTGGAGTGTGGGAGGAAACTGGAGTACCCGGAGGAAACCCACGCAGGCACATGGAGAACATGCAAGCTCCGTGCAGGTAGTGTCATGGTTGGGATTCGAACCAATGACCCTAGTGTTGCTAGGTGGAAGTGCTAACCACTTAGTCACTGTACTGACCTGAGCCAACATCTGCCAATTGGCTGTTTAGGAAAAAGTGATCCGGGTGGCTCTGCAGTTGCCCGATCACTTTTAGGCCTCCTGCACACTGGACGTTTTTTTTTTAACACTGCTATTATGGGCTGGGGGCATTTTTTGTTTTCTGCCTCTAAATTATTATATTATTATTATACAGTATTTATATAGCGCCAAAAGGTTTGCTCAGCGCTGTACATTATAGTGGGGGACAGTACATGAGACAGTACAGTAACAAAACAATACACGAGGGGTTTGAGGGCCGTGCTCTTTCGAGCTTACAATCTAGGAGGGAGGGGATAGTGGTACAGGAGGAAGTGGCTGTGGGGGATGGAGTGGTAGGAGGAGTGTAGGAGATCGGCTGTTAGGTGAGGGTGGGGTAGGCTTCCCTGAAGAGATGGATTTTCAGGGTGCACCTAAAGATGAGGAGGGTAGGTGACAGTCTGATGGATTGGGGTAGTGAGTTCCAGAGGATGGAGGAAGTCCTGGAGAAGTCCTGCAGTCGGGCGTGGGATGAGGAGACCAGGGAGCTATAAAGTAGGAGTTCTTGTGAGGAGCGAAGAGTACAGGTTGGGTGGTATTTGGGTATCAGGTCGGTGAGGTAGTTTGGGGCAGCTTTATGAATGGCTTTGTATGTCAATGTTAGTAGTTTGAACTTACTGCGTTAGGCAATCGGAACCCAGTGGAGGGAATGACAGAGGGAGGTGGCAGAAGCGGAGCGGTTGGTAAGGTGGATGAGTCTGGCCGCTGAGTTCAGGATAGAATGAAGTGGGGATAGCCTGTGTTGGGGTAGGCCAGTGAGGAGGGAGTTGCAGTAGTCCAGACGTGAGATAATAAGGGAAATGCCCCTGCATGTTGGCCTATGTGTCCATGCACCCATATAGTAGGTGTTTGGAGGCTGAAAAAAACTGCCGCTAGCGCATCCAGGAGCAGCAGTGTTGTGGCAGGAAAAAAATGCTTGACGTTTAAATAAACGTGTATGAACGCTAGGTGCGTCAAACACTTGAACGTTTTTTTTTAAGTGGTAGGAATAAATTATTAAAGTAGAACTATAGGAAAACTTTTTTTTTAAGTTTGTTTAGAGTAAGGGAGGGTTATAACTCCTCTCAGTTTATTTTTTGTCATCTGTGTCCTGTTGGGGAGATTTACCTTCACTTCCTGTCCCATAGCCAAACCTGGAAGTAAGAAAAGCTCTACAATTGAAGGGAATTCCTTGGGGACCCCCAGGGCATCAGAACTAGTGTCCCCATTTGGAAGATTTCCCCTCTATTACTTTTCTGGGGACAACCCAAAATTTGGGAGTTTTTACTTACGATGATAATGGTAAACAGGACAAATCGAGAGGATGAATCTCCTTAATGAGGGCACAGACAACAATAAAAACTGATAGGGGTAATAATCCCTGTCCACTCGATCCAAAACTAAAAAAAAAAAAAAAAAAAAAAAAGTTTTACCCTTTATTTATACTTTAATTCTGGCCAAAACTTTAGTCCTGCCAAATGTTGCTGGCAGGAGGAAAGGCATCTAGGAGAGATGGGCAAACGCCTGCTGTTCATAAGGCCTTACAGTACTGAAAAGGGACACTCCCAGATTTTCCTGCTGCTCCTGGGAGCCCAGGACCGAGGTAAGCAGCCAAGATTGCTTCACACAGAGGAGATAGAGGAACATGAATTCCCCACTGTGACTAATATAGTGGCAATGATTTTGTGACTTACAGTTTCAGAGCTGCCAGCCTGGAATGCTGCTAATCAAGCATGATCTGTGCTTGATTAGCTGCTTTGGAGAGCAGGAGAAATGTTGTGAGTCTAATAGACCCCTGATGTTTCCATAAAGGACTTGTGATAGCAAGTTCAATGAAAAAAAAAATTATTTTTAAGAAAATAAAAATAATTGGAAAAAAAAGAAGCTGGGATGGGAGACAGGAGCAATGTCAAAGGAATAGCCAGGGTCATCAACGGGCGGACAGCGAGGTACCAAGTCATAAACAAGCAAAAGTCAGGGCAGAGCTGAAGTCAGGAACCAGTATCAAGCAGGAGAGGAATCGGAGTCGGGTCAGTAACAAGGAAATCACACGCAGGAAACGGGGAACAGCTGAAGACCAGTCAGCACTCAGCACAGGCAGAGGCACCTCTTAAATAGTCCGTCTGGCGCCAATCTCCACCGTGCGTGTGCATGATCGTGCCTTTCTGTGCATATGCGCACGTCTATTCACCAGCCGTTTCACGGGAATTCCCTTACAGACACACACAAATTTGAGTCTTTACATGTTTAATATCTATTTTTCACTGCAACCTTATCTTTTATATTGTGCCAAAAAATGGGTGCACTAATATTCATTTTAGTGAATTTTTCTCCTGAAAGGCTGATTTGATAAATAGCTGCACGGATATCGCGTGACATAAAAAATTGCAAGAGCCACCATTTTATTCTCTGGGGTCTCTGCTTTCCACAAATATATAATGTTTGCAGGTTCTAAGTAATTTCCTAGCAAAAAATGCTGATTTTATCGTGTGTGTAAAAAAAAAAAAAAAAAAAAAAATTGCCCTGGATAGCAAGTGGTTAAAGTGTATGTATAGCTTTTTGTTTAATTTTTGGATAGAGTAGGGAAGGATTGGAATCTGTCAGGTTTTTACTGCTGTCTGTGTTTCCTCTTGGGGAAATTCACCCTCTCGATTTGTTCGGTGATCCTCGTCACCAGGGCAGAAAATGTCAGGAAATCCACAATTTTACAGTTGTTACAGGGAGGGGAAGGGAGAACTACCAATGGGGGCACCTGTTCTGGTGAAATCTGTCTAAGCCCATGTTTACACCAATGTGATTTGTCACAATTTGACAGTTCAAAATCGCATGTCAAGTCGCATCCTGTTTTTGACAGTGTAGCATCATTTCCTTCACTACTTTTCTGCGATTTCCTTGCGACTTGCATTAACTTCTGCTAAATAAAGTCATAAGCCACAATGAAATCTGAGATCCAAATTGTACTTCTCTACGGCTTTAAAAATGTTCTGAAGTAGTGCAATTTCAAAGCCGCACTGGTGTGAACCAGGGCCGTGAAGGGAACTCCTCTCACTTTTTCTCTCTCTCTTCCTGTTTTTTTTCTTTGGTGCAAGAAGTGAAGGGAAATGTCCCCAACAGGACATCATAAACACTGACATGGGTTTCAGCCATTACCTACTCTATTCAAAAGAGGGGGAAAAAAAAGGTTTTGGCTATGGATAAGCTTTAACCACCTCCCATCCAGCCGTTGTATATAAACGGCCGGAAGGTGGCAGTGCAGGGTTGGGTGGCCGTTTATAAACGGCCTCCCCGCACCCAGCTTGCGCGCTCTCCCTGGGAGTGCGCAGCACCGCGATCTGATGTCCGCTGTGTCCTCCGGACACAGTGGAACACCGATCGTCGGACGGGACCTCTGTATGAGGTCCCGATCATGTGATCACTGATTGGCCAATCAGTGATCACATGCAGAGTTGTAAGCAATATGTCACTTGTGACATCATTGCTTACTACGTGTGAAATCTGTGAATGATCACAGAGGTCACATGGTACAAGGCTTTTCACAACAGCTTTGTACCATGTGACAAGCTGTGACCAATCACAGCTCGCACAGTATTTCTCAATGGCTGCAAGAATACATCTAGAAAGAAGGAGAAATTATTGCTTTTACATCCTTTTTGGGTGTAAAAGCAATCATTGTAAAAAAAACAAAAACAAAACAATCTTCATCACCCCCCACAAGTAGTACAGTGTCACCATAGTGACATTGTACTGCTAGGGTGACAGTATGTAAAAAAAAAATAATAAATAAAAAATAATATAAAAATAGGTTAAAAAATTATAATTTTTTGGTTATAAACTAATTTGGGGTTTTTTTTTTTTTTTACTAAAAATATAACGGACTACATTTTGGCCAAGATTTATGATTAAATACTATTTATTTGCAAAATTTTATAAGAAAAACTTTTTTTCAAAATTTTTGGACTTTTTAATTTACATAGCAAAGAAAATAAAAATCCCAGTGGTGAATAAATACCCCCAAAATAAAGCTTTATCTGTCTCAAAAAAATGCTCAAAAATTCATATGGGTACAGTGTTGCATGACCGCGCAATTGTCATTCAGCGTGTGATAGCACTGAAATCTGAAAATTGGCCTGGACAGGAAGGGGGTAAAAGTGTCCGGACTGGAAGTGGTTAATGCCACAAAGGGCCTCAGTTTTTCATGGTTGCCTCTGTATTGGGTAAATAACTGCCATGTTGTTCCTGTTAGCAATTTGAATTAAACATCTATATTGTATTGTGTCATTCCAGGCTACTCGCTCCCTCAGTGAATTCACGTCTCTGGAGGAAAAGCCGCAGTTCCCAGGAGCCTCAGCTGAGTTTGTGGACTCTCTAGAGTTTATCCAGCCCAATGTCATCTCTGGGATCCCAGTGTATCGGGTGATGGACCGACAGGGGCAGATTCTCAACGCCAGTGAAGACCCCCTTGTAAGATCCGGTTTGTGTGCTTGGATGAGATTGCTTTTCGTTACTCCACATGTACCAAAGCAGACATTTGTATTGGCCCCTTTTACATGTTTTGACATAAACTAATTATCCAGAACCAGAGTTAAAGGAGAAGCATGGGCTTATGAACAAATTAAACCTACGCACTCACCTTCATGCTGAAGCATATGTTTGATACTCTAGTTCTCCCACATCAGCTCTTACACCAAGAAGTGAGCAATCATATGACTGTTGATTGCTCTCTTTTTGGTGTATTCCAAGCAGGGAGCAGCGATTGTCAGTCATTGCTCTCTACTCTGCTTTTCCAGCACTCACTGGAGCATCGGGTAAGGGGGAATGTGTGCAGCTGGCTTTGGCTTTCAGCCACATGCTGAGCCAGCTATCAATTAGGTGGCTGGGTGGATCCTGACTATATTGTCAGAATCCTCCATGAGCCTGGACAACTCTGCCCCATCAGCTGATAGCAGACTATATCCCACTATCGGCTGACTCTGGCTCATGGAACAAAAATAAAGCTAGCCATAGATGGGTCGAAATTCGTCCGGTTCAGCTGAGACTGGCTGAATTTTGATCCATCTATGGCCATTCCATTCCAGAAAAGTTGATCTTCTCTCGAACAGGCGAAAAATTTCCTTCATCAGCACTGCAGACAGTCAGCTTTGTTGCTGATCAGTGCATTCTGTCCCACTGTCAGAGTACAATAACATCGACCCACCTCGCTTGTGTGGTTGGCAGAATCTGTTCAGCTTTGTTTTTTGATCAGCCTACTAACTGATTGAAATAAACTGATTCATGTATGGCCAACCTTAAGCCAGCCATAGATGGAGCGATTTTCTTTCCTTCAGCCTGTGTTTGCAGGAAAGAAAACCACTTAATTCCCTCATCAACACAGTCAGTGTTGATGGGAGAATCCCTCCCGTGGAGCCATTGTGTTCTCCTGGCGGGTGGGGGGGGGGCATCCCTACCTAGAGAACACAGCGATTACTTACTAGCAGCTATAATAGCTGCTAGCAATTATGGCATGTAAAACCCAACAGGCTGGTTGTACACAAGTTAATCAATCAAATTGGATACATTCAGCCTGCTCATACATGGTTCGAGTCCGGCTGGCCCCTGCACAACCGGCCAAGATTCGAACCGTTTATGGCCGGCTTTATTGCACTGCTGTGACCCCACAAGAGATGTACAGCCAAACAAGCTTTGGCTGTACGTCTCTTTTAAACATTTGTCAGACATCACTGGCTACATGTTTGTTCTATGTATGCGACTCACTTGATAGTGAACCAAGGTATAGGGTCTGCATCCAAGAACCCCTTAGTTTACTGATCGCAAAATGATTTATTTTCAAGTTTAACCACTTGCCTACCAGGCACTTATACCCCCTTCCTTACCAGGCCAATTTTTAGCTTTCAGCACTGCCGCACTTTGATTGACAATTGTGTCGGTCATGCAACATTGTACCCATATGAAAATTTTAATTTTTTTCTCACAAATAGAGCTTTCTTTTGGTGGTATTTAATCGCCACTGGGCACTTTACTTTTTGTGCTATAAATAAAAAAAGTGCAAAAAAGTTGAAAAAAAAAAAAAAAGTTTATTTGTTTCTTTTATAAAAATTTTTTCTCCTTCACTGATGTGCGTTGATGAGGCAGCACTGATGGGCACTGATAGGCGGCACTGATGGGCACTGATAGGCAGCACTAAAGGGCACTGATAGGCAGTACTAATGAGGTAGCACGGATAGGCGGCACTGATAGACAGCACTAATTAGGGGTCACGGATAGGCGGCACTAATATGCAGCACTGATAGGCGGCACTGATAGGTGACACTGACTATGGGTACTGATAGACGGCACTGACTGGCATCACTGCTGGGCACTGACTGGCGGCACTGACTGGCACAATCCCTGGGCACTGACTGGTGGCACTGACTGGCAGCACTGGTGGGCAGCACTGGTGGGTGGGCACAGGTGGGCGGCACTGGTGGGCACAGGTGGGTGGGCACAGGTGGGTGGCACTGCTGGGCACAGGTGGGTGGCACTGCTGGGCACAGGTGGGTGGCACTGCAGAGTGGCACAGGTGGGTGCACTGCTGGGCACGGGTGGGCGGAGCTAGTGGGCGCACTGCTGGGCGGAACTTGCGGGTGGCACTGCTGGGCACCGATCATCAGGTTACTGATCATCAGTGCCCTGATGATCGGTGCCGATCCCCGCTCTGACAACTGCCGGTTCTCGGCAGTACTTTCCTCACGATCTGACAGCGTGAGGAAAGTGCAGCCGAGAACCGGCACTTGCATTTCCCTGTGATCAGCGTGTCATTGGACACCGCTGATCACGTGGTAAAAGGCCGCTGTGATTGGCCTTTTACCACATCACGTGATCAGCTGTGTCCGTAGGACACAGCGATCACGGAGATCGCCGGGTGCGCGCCCCCCCTGGGGCGCGCAGGAGAGCGCGTTCTGGGAGGACGTCATATGACGTCCACCCAGAACTGGCCGGCCGCAGTGAAGCCGTCATTCGGCTATCTGCGGTCGGCAGCTGGTTAAAGGGAAGCGTTTTTGTTACTTGTACAATTACACATATGTTTTAGTAAAGATATCACTCACCGCCCACGAGATTGCCAACCACTTCAAAAATAAGATCGACGTAATTTGTAGGGACATCGCCACTGCTCAGACTTCCACGCCACCTAGCATCCCTCACACGAAAACCCCCTCAACACCCCTCTCCTTCGACCCCCGCCACTGTCCAGACTTCCACCCCACCTAACATTCCTCGCACTAAAACCCCCTAAACACTCCACTCCTTCGACCTTGCTACCACTGAAGAGGTCACTAAGGTCTTCTCTGAAGCCCGCCTCACCACCTGCCCCCTTGACCCTGTCCCCTCACAACTCCTACGATCACACCCTCCTCCTCCATCCTACGCTCCCTCACTCCACATCTTTAATCTCTCCCTCTCTACTGGCGCATTCCCCTTCCCTCTGAAACACGCGCACATCACTCCCATACTTAAACCCTCCCTGGATCCCACCGACCTGAACAACCTTAGACCCATCTCCCTGCTGCCATTTACATCCAAACTCCTTGAGCGCTTAGTCTATAATTGACTAAGTTCCCACCTCACCGACGACAACCTCCTTGATCCACTACAGTCTGGCTTCCGCCCCCTACACTCCACCGAAACTGCCCTACTCAAAATCAATAATGACCTGCTAACCATCAGAGCTAATGGCCACTACTCAGTCCTCCTACTCCTCGACCTCTCCGCGGCCTTCGACACAGTTCACCACCCCCTCCTCCTTAATAAACTTTACTCCCTTGGCATCAGAGACTCCGCTCTCTCCTGGCTCTCCTTCTATCTATCACAGCGCTCCTTCAGTGTTACCTATAACGCTGCCACCCCCCTCCCCCCCTCTCTGTTGGAGTCCCTCAAGGCTCTGTCCTCGGGCCCCTTCTCTTCTCCATCTACACCTCCTCTCTTGGCCAACTTATACGCTCCCACGGCTTCAACTACCATCTCTATACCGATGACACACAAATCTATTTCTCTACCCCTCGCCTCACCACTTCAGTCTCCTCCCGAATCACTAGCCTACTGAACGTATCGGATTGGATGTCACTCCACTTCCTCAAATTAAACCTTTCCAAAACCGAGCTCTAGTTTTCCCCCCCTGCGCCTGCCCCCCCCCCCCCCCCCCGAATTCTTCATCACGACCAACAACGCCACATCAATCTCACCCCACAAGCCAGAGTACTTGGTGTCATCCTAGACTCCAATCTGTCTTTCCAGCCCCAGGTCCAATCGCTGACAAACTCATGTAGACTTCACCTCCGCAACAACTCCAAAATACGTCCGTTCCTAACCCCAGACACTACTAAGCAACTCATTCACTCCCTTATCATATCACGACTTGACTACTGTAACTCCCTCCTCACCGGCTTACCTCATCACAGACTATCCCCGCTTCAGTCTATCCTGAATACTGCGGCCAGACTCATCCATCTTACTAACTGCTCCGTAGCCGCCACCCCCCCCCTCTGCCAATCCCTCCACTGGCTTCCGATTGCCCAACGGATAAAATTCAAAATGCTAACACTGATGTACAAAGCTGTTCATAACACTGCCCCAACTACATCACTGACCTGATATCCAAATACCACCCAAAACGCACTCTCCGCTCCTCATAAGACCTCCTTCTCTCTAGTTCCCTGGTCTCCTCCTCCCATGCCCGTCTCCAGGATTTCTCCAGGGCTTCCCCCATCCTCTGGAACTCCCTACCCCAATCCATCAGACTATCACCTACTCTCTTCTCCTTTAGGCGCACCCTGAAAACCCATCTCTTCGGGAAGCCTACCCCGCCCTCAGCTAATTGCCGATCTCGTCCACTCTTCCTACCACTCCATCCCCCACAGCTATTTCCTCCTGTACCACTAACTCCTCCCTCCTAGATTGTAAGCTCAAGGAGCAGGGCCTTCAAACCCCTCGTGTATCGCATTGTATTGTTATTGTACTGTCTCGTGTATTGTCCCCCATTGTAATGTACGGCGCTGAGCAAACTGTTGGCACTATATAAATATTGTATAATAATAATAATTGCGGATGGCAAAAAAAAGTGTAATTTTCCAGTATAGGGTAAATTTTTTTCTGTCTTTAAAGCTAGCCATACATTTTGAGATTTCTCTCGTTCAGCCTCCAGGCTGAAAGAGAAGAAATCTACAGATTTCTCCATCCATGCCAAACTGGGAATAGGAATCTGCACTGCCAGCTATTGTATTCACGCAGGCAGCACCCTCAGCTGCCTGAATACCCAAACAGTGACTGCATCTGATAAGATGTAGTCACTGTTGAGCTGGAAATTCTCCACCCAGCTCAGTCAATTCAGTAGGAATTAGACGAAATCTGAACCATGTTTGGCTAGCCTATGGCTTTGCTTTTCTTTGTAGTAGACAGGGGCGTAACTTGAAGCTTGTGGGCCCCCCATGCAAAAGTTGACTTGGGGCCCTCCCACTATCACCCACTACTTCCAACGCGTGCCAAGATGCTCCAAGTTGCTGCCGGCTGCACGTACACACAAGGTGGGGCCATGCAGGCCACACTCTGAGCTGCGGTGTGCTTGTATTTAAAAAAGGAAACTCAGAAGGCCCTCTGACTTCCCGATTCACTTACAAGTCCACTATTTTTCAGCTAGCAGTTCAGAATGTGGCCTGCCTTCCCCATCTTGTGTGTGCACATGTATGGTTGACCAGGGCGGGGAGGAGTTGGACGGGGTGGTTGAGCAAAGAGTGCGCCACTGGGGAAAGGGCTTACCCCATCACTCTGTATAGGTGTAACCGCAAGTGGAGAAGGGTTAAAGTGTCTACTGACTACCGATGATAATGGGATTTTTTTCTTTTTATAGGTGTGTGGGGGGGCTGGATTTAAGTTTCCTAAAACACTTTTATACAGAGTCTGTCAGTTAATGTACTCCATCAGTCACTGACATATCCAGCCAGGTGATTGGAGCACTGCCTCCACCCTGCTCTGCACATTCACAACACTACATCTTGTGGACTGGGTGATGCAGCCATAGGGGCACACATAGAGCAATTCAGACAACTGTGCCCTTAGATCAGTCCAGTTTCTGCACCATCACACCTCAGTTCCTGCACCATCACACCTCAGATCACTCCAATTCCTGGACCTTCACAGGATTTGGGGCATCACTCCAAATCCTGCACCTTTTGGCATCTCCCTCTAGAGCCAGCTGGCCTCAACACCGCTTCAGTGTCAGCTGCAGGCATGCCAAGTTAGGGGGCCAGGAATGGAGGCAGGCAGCAAATGAAGTGAAGAACCAGCCATGCTCCCTCCTGTGTAGCCAGCCGCAACTGCCCATTGGCTGGGACCCCCAGCCTTCCTTTGCCTGCCATAATAAATGCGGCTGTGTGTCTCCCCCTGAAGTAGATTGAAAGCCTAGTGCGACAGGGAGGCAACACGGGACCCCCCCGGAGCATGCGCAAGGTCGCAGTTGCGACCCCTGATGCTACGCCCAAGCTAGATTTGGTCCATGGCATACACAAAGAAGGCTTAAAAGATTCAGATTACCAAGGAGTACATTTTAGGAAGTAACCAGTTATAACGTTTGATTTTATTCCTTCTTCCAGATCCCTCAGGAGCAAGTACTTAAGTTCTACCACACTATGACCCTACTCAACACTATGGATAGGATCCTGTATGAGTCTCAAAGACAGGTACGTGATTCTTTAGCTTGAATTGGGTGGAGAAGACCATACCGTAGCGACCTTTATAGCTGCCTTGGCAGGAACAAACTCCATGTCTCATATAGTTCCCCTCTATGTGATCATGCAGTGGATAGAACAGACTTCATGTGTGTCCTTCCTTGTGCATCATCCTGCAATGGGAAGTGAAGAAATGTCACCCGCACATTATTTTTCCTCAAAATGGGTCCAATGCTTTATTTCATGGTAACATGATAAAGAGAAGGCAACGTTTCGGAGCCAAGCAGGGCCCCTTCGTCAGGCATGTGACAAAGTGCTGTTCAAGTCAAGACATATTTAACAGACCATCCACCAATCAGTGAAGGCATTTGAGGCCTAACCATGCCCCTGACATCTTAATGATGGTGGTTTGTTTACAGGTTGGTTAGCAGCATGGAGGCATGAGATCTGGCCTCCAATGCTGTGCATGCTGGCGCGCCTGCGCAGTACACGCAATTCACTGCAGTGGGCTGTCAGACTTTGCCGCAGCAACACTGAATGCTGAAGTGGCCTCCATTGGGTCACAAATATGAGGAGGTGGCAGAGCCCTCTAGTGTGGACAGTGAGCCAGTGCAAGGGAAATGGGATAGGAGAAACTCTAAAGAGACCAAAAAGTAAGAAAAAAAGGGAAAGAAGGGGAGAAAAGAAAAAAGGACCTGAAGAAAAAAGAGGAAAACATAAAAGGGAAAGAGGAAAATTAAAAAATTAAAATTGTATAAGAAAATAAAAGGAAACAAATTTTAAAATATAATGAAGGAAAAATAGAGAGAAAATAAAGTAAATAAAAAAAATTGAAAAATTAAGGAAAAACAACCAAGCAAAAAAATTAAAAATAATATATAATATAAATAAGTAATAATAAAGAAATGCAAAGAAGAAAAACAAACATTAAAAAAAAAAGGCAAAACCAAAAATGGAAAAAATTAAAAAGCAAATGAAGAGAGAAAGGAGAAAGAAAAATTGAAAAAACAATAAAGGACAAAAAATTAGAAGAAGATTGGGAAAGAAAGAGGAAAAGAGAAAAGGACAGAAGAGGAAGAAACAAGGAAAAGAGAAAATGAAAAAATGTGAAAAATGACCACCATGTACATTCAGTCATGAACGCATCCAATACCATCATCATCTCTCGTCAAGGAAGCAGGTGAAAGATAAGTTAGGGTTAAGGCCGCCCTCGGGTTGTACAGTGTTTAGTTTATAAATCCAGTACGCCTCCCTGTGTAGGAGGAGACCATCACGGTCATCACTGCTCGCAGAACAATCCCATGTTCAATTACATGCCCCTAAGTTCATGTACCTGATGTTTTTCTGTGACAAAATGTACAGCCACAGGTTTGGTGAGGTCTATAGAATCATTCTTGGTGGCCTTCACTAAGGCTGTCCTAATGTCACTTTTGTGCCTCTGGAATATCCATTTAAAGGGGCCAATCATTTTGCCTACATATACCAGTGAACGTGGGCATTTTTTAAAATGTAAACACAATATTCAGTGTTACAGTTCACATTATATATACAGAATATGCAGGTGTGTAAAGATTTCACCGCATATCAAGGAGTTACAGACATTACATTTTGGAACACTTGTAACAGCCCTGTTTCTGTGACAGCCTGGAAACTGATTTGGCATATTTCGGTCTAGGATCAGCCTGGACCAGCCTGGAGATAGGTAGACTATTTACAAGGTGCCTAGGGTGCAAATATTTTGCCAGGGAAAATCCCATTCAAGTAATCAACAAATGCAAAGAAATCAGGTCCCCCACCGTCCCAAATAAGCAAAATGTCATAAATGTTCATTTTTCCATGTAGCCTACAATCCGCTTTGTGAATGAGGGGGCTGTAGAGCTGCCCATGGCTGTGCCTCATATTTAAGTGTATTTTGTTGAACGCAAAAATATTATTTTCCAACACAAAATTTAAACATTTGATCAGATAATCAGTTGGGAGGCTCTGGGCAGTCAATTTGGCTAAGAAATGTTTAACCACTGCTAAATCAGCTGTGTTGGGTATGCTGGTATACAAAGATGAGAGATCCATAGTTGTTTAGTTGTTAATTGTCAATTCGCATCAAACGTTGCGAATTTCACAAATTGACCAAAAAAATCACTTGTGTCTCTGACATATGCTGGTAAGCGGTTTACCAGAGTCTGAAGATGAAAATCAATCCATTGTACCAGGGCCTGTGATCAACCCAGACACAATGGGCCTGAATTTAAGAGGGTTGCTGCCCTTGTGGATTTTAGGTAACCTATAAATCACCGGTGATCTTGGATGTTCATTCATCAAAAACTCTGCCGTGTCCATGGAGACCCAACCATTCGAACACCCAATGTTGATCAAATAGTTCACATAATTTTTTTTATCCTGTGTATAGGATCCTTAATGAGTTGCCAACATCAATAGCATGCCTTCCCTGTATTCCTTGTAATCCATGATACAAGATCCACCGATCTTTATCGGTGGAGGTTGGGGGCTGCATTCATGCAGAGTATTGGATGAGGGGCACGGAATCCCCCACCTTCTGGGCCTGATGATACAGGTTAACCACGGGTACACTCTACCTCCCTGGTAATCAAGAGTCACCTGTTTGTTTGTCACATAGTGTATTCAGTTACAGTGCTCAGCATAAATGAGTACACCCCAAAAGATTTTTCAGAAAACCTTTACTTTCCTTTCAGAATCAACATTTTCTATGGAACACTACACTACAAAATACTCCCACAAATGCGGGCCATTGGTTGCAAATAAGATTTGTTAATTTGCACACACAAAAATGTACAAATTCATTCAAGACCATTTTGCAAAAATGAATACACCCCAATGAAAACCCCTTCCCATTTCATGCTGTCAGCAATGGCACCTCATGGATGAGAAATGTCACAAAGCCTGAGAAAATAATTTCTTTACGCAAGAAAGGTGAAGGTTACAAGAAGATCAGCAAAGCTTCACTTATCAGTCACAATACTGTAGCAAAAGTGATACAAATTTTAACAGAAATGGAACTGCAACCATCTTACAGAGACGTCCAGGCCGTCCATGGAAGTTAACATCTTGACAGGAGCTTCTTTTGATGAGAGGGGTTGAAGAAAATCACCATGCAAGTTCACTGCAGTTAAAAGAAGTAGAAAGCCAAACTGGGGTGATTGTTTCCCGTGACACAATATGACGTACACTGCAAAGGAATGGCATACATGGGTGTTGTCCACGAAGGAAGCTTCTTCTAAAGGCCATGCCCAAAAAGCCTTGCAGGGCCCGTGCTGAAAAAGAAGATTACTGGGACTCTTTACTTTGGAATGATGAGACCAAGATAAACGTTTTTGGAACTGATGGCTTCAAAATTGTATGACGTCACAAAGGTGAGTACAAAGAAAAATGCATGGTGCCTACAGTGAAACATGGTGGTGGCGGTGTCCTTCTGTGGAGCTGTGTGAGTGCTGCTGGTGTCGGGGAGCTGCATTTCAATGGTGGTATCATGAATTCACAGATGTACTGCTCTATATTGATCGAGAAGATGCCACCAATACTCTGTGCCCTTGGTTGTTGTGCACTTTTCCAACATGACAGTGATCCAAAACACACATCTAAGGCCACTGTTGCATTTATGAAGAACAGTGAAAGTGATTCAGTAGCTAAGTATGTCTCCTGATCTGAACCCAATCGAATGCCTATGGGGAATTTTGAAGAGACACGTTGCCATCACTCTCCATCCAGCATCCAGGTTCTAAAAGAAGTTGTTCTTGAAGAATGATAGATGTTTCAATATGTCGCCAACTTGCTCATTCCATGCCTAGAATACTTGGTGCTGTCCTTACAAAAATGAATCCACCCCACAACAAAAACTACTCCATCTAGTATTTTGCATGACCTTCATGATTTGTATCAACTAATTTGAGTAAAACTGAAGATTTTGTAATCTAAGTTATATTATTAAACTTAATTTCAAGTAATGAGCTAAACAAATGTTCTATAAAACTCAGTTTTGTCAAAATGTTGGAAATTGTTCTTGTGTTCATTTGAGATATTGTTTAAAATCTTACTTTTCAAAGGGGTGTACTCATTTTATGCTGAGCACTGTATCTCCTGGTTCATCTCTTGTAAAGCACTTGTTTGCTTGTCTTTATTGTGTAATGAAAGTTCCAGAACAGTCAGCTCGCAGTGGTCCTGGCACAACTGGACCTTCACTTCCTCAATGACCAGAGGCATATAGTTCTTTTCATATAGTTCTTTTACAAAGAATTTTATTATAGAATAGATCGGAGCAGAGAATCAGACAAAAACAGATACATTGACCAACAGGAATAAAACATACAAGGTATTCGTTGAATATTACAGAATACGTACTGATGGAGAAACATAGAAATAAACATCAGACTTAAGTGCCGAGTACAGAAAGAGGAAAAAAAATAAGTTGCAAAAAATGGGGGAAACGTTTATAGACCAATGACAATATAAACTCTAAGGAAAAATTGTCACTATATCAGCATATAGAAAGCGGAGATGAGATGATATGAGATGGAACCTCTCAGAATAAAAAAATGGGCATTCCACACGCAGGGCTCCCGATGGAGTCCAGCATAAGGATATAGTATTGCTGGCGCGGCACTCAAAGCAATAATCACAATCAGTACACATAGCATGAAAACAGACTAGACAAAAGGAAAAAGAGGAAGAAGAGGAAGGAGACGAAAACAAAAAGGGCTCCAGGGGGATCGCAGCAGAAAAAAAAAAAAAAAATAAACTGATATGTAAATTTTATATCGACAAAAGGGACTGGTCGAATCTCGATGGTTGGGCTATATCAAGCCAGGGACGCCATGTCTGCAGGAATTTTGTGTGGGTGTCTAACAGTATAGCCGTCAGTTTTTCATTGACCATTATGAAGTTCATCTGGTTTTTGACAGCCTCGAAGCTGAGGAGGGGAGTCTTCCAAGCCCTTGCAATCGTCAGCTTGGTAGCCATAAAGAGGATGTGTGATGCCAGCTGCCGTTCGGGACGAAGTCAGAAGCATATAGTGCAATGAGTTTTGGGTTGATACATTTCACCACTTCTCACAAAACTCACGGTTTTGTTCCTCCTATAATATTCCAGTGAGATTTGTCCATGCAATTTGAGATCAACCTGTCTCTTCTTGAGAATGTATAATTTCTCTCAATCGATTGCAGTGTCAGATCCAAAAGCCTTGTCAGTGTCTGGTGGAAAGAGGATATGCTGGTGACATGTCTTCACTTGGATTGTCTATGGTTCCCAGCCTGTGGTCACTAGAGCACCCAACAATATTAAATAGCCATCTGCAGGAACGTGTGCATTAGGAATATTGCATCTGCAATGGGAGGGTTAGACTACATTTTTCGTACCACCCTAGACAAGGGAAGTGGGAGTAGACTCCATGTTTTATAGCTTCCTCATAGCCACTTTCTGTCTGTCACCTAGCAGTGAGAGGTACAGAAACCATGTTTCATGGCTCGCTTCTGTTTGTGTCACCCTGCACTGAAAGGCACACAGTCCATGTCTCATAGCTGTCCTCTATCTTTGTCACCCTGCAATGGGAGGGACAGACTGCATGTTCCATACCTTCCTTACATCTATGTCACTCTGCAGTGAGAGGGACAGACCACATGTCTCATAGGTCCCTTATGTCTGTCACTCTGCAATAGCAGGTACAGACTCCATGTCTGCTAACTCCCTTCCATTTGTGTTGCCCTATTGTAGAAATGCTTGTGCTGGTGAAATCAAATATTGTTATGTTACAGGGAAGAATTTCATTCTACATGACAAATTACGGTGAGGAGGGCACACATGTGGGTAGTGCAGCTGCTCTTACTGACACAGACTTGGTATTCGGACAGTATCGAGAGGCAGGTGAGCTACCATTTTAAATATGCAATTAAAACATATAATATGCAGTCTTCTTGTAATTGTAATGAGTTTCGCTGCATTTTTCTTTCTAGGAGTCCTGATGTACAGGGGGTATCCTCTGGATCTTTTTATGGCGCAGTGCTATGGTAATGCCTTAGACCCCGGAAAGGGGCGGCAAATGCCTGTACATTATGGTTGTAAAGATCGGAATTTTGTTACCATCTCTTCTCCATTAGCAACACAGATACCACAAGGTAAATTAAGCTACCTGTTATTTCTACACGGAATTTCAGTACAACGAATACTGCGTTCTTTTGGGGTTTTTTGTGCGTAATCCCTTTTCACCAAAAAATAGAGAAAAGAAAGCATAAAGTGATTGTAAAGGCTAAAGGCTCAAGCAGCAGCGCTCCCCCCCCCCCCCCCCCCCCCACATCAATATTTTACCTGAGCCCCATCTTGATCCAGGGATTGTCATGAGAGCCTCAATTGTCCTGGGTCTCTCCATCCTCATTGGCTGAGACAGCACCAAGAGCCATTGGCTTCCTTACCGTCATTCACAATCGGGTGCCCCATAGCGAGCTGCTTGCACTTGGCAGGAGGGGAGGGGCCAGGAGCGCTGTCTAGGGACCCCGGAAGAGGAGAATTGGAGCTGCTCTGTGCAAATCCACTGCACAGAGCAAGCAAGTATGACAGGTTAGTTTAAAAAAAAAAAAAAAAAAAATTCTGCCTTTACAATCACTTTACTATTGAAAACTAAGACAGAGGTTGGCTTGACCACAAAGAAAAAATGAGCACCTACGTTCTGTGCCAAGAAATGATGTGTGTTGATCTGATAAATACCTACTAGGCTTCCCGTTCTGACACCACTACGAATGGGTCCATAGAGTCGGCATGGCATTTACTTGGAGAGTGCAGGTGGTTGTCTGATTTATAAGCTAGATTCACAAAGCTTTAAAGCTAATCTTAGGGCTGGAGAAAAGTTCTACTTGAAGTGGGTCCCCTTTTGTACTGCAAAGAGATGATAAATACAGTGAATTACATACCATGACTGCTTGTCCTGCATTGCACATGATGATGTTGGAGAACTGTGACCGGTCTTACACCAAAAAGAAGCAGTTTCTCATGCAATGCGGAGGAAGCTTGCGGGAGCAAGGACTATGCACCTTTAATCCACTCCCTCTAGAAAAAACAAGTTAACCATTGGCAATGCAAGGGTATCTTTTAAAAAACAAAGATCCCTTTTTTTTCTGGTGTGTTTAGATTTGTGATTTGAGCCAAGTGTCTTTACCCAAATACACTCTTCACATTTTTATTTTTTTTTAACACATCCACAAGCAATTCTATCACCAAAGAAGAAGCTCCACTATTTCCTGGTTCAACATTAAATTTGTTGTTTCATCTGCTTGTTTACTGGACAGTATATTGATGCTGTTTCATTGTTAGAGGACCTTCAGCCTACTCTCACCTTTTCATTTTTTTTTTTTTTTTTTACCTATGTTGTAGGCAAAGTTTGGATACTCATCCACCCAGCCATCAGATCCAGCATTGACCCGTTGACATCCTTCTGTCAGCAGACACCGCTGGGTCCCGCACCACCATCTTGTGGCATCGAGAGGCCCGCTGACTCTTCTGGGTTCAGCCGGCGAGGCCTCGCGATGATGCGCCGCTAGGCCCACCCCCTCCTCACTCAGTGAAAGACTAAAGGCCACCTGGGATATGTTGTGTGCATATCCCAGGAGGCCCAGCATGCACTGTGCACGTCATTCATCTAGGCGAATGATGTGCATTTAGACTGGGTTCACACTAATACACCACATATAATTCACACAGGATCTCACCGGATTCCTGTGTGAATTACATGCAATGTCTGTGCTGTGCAATTTGAGCCATAGTTTGTATGGCTCAAATCACATCGCATCCTCACCAAAAAGGTTCAGGATCTTTTTTTTTTTTTTTTACCCGCACCTGAATTGCATTTCATGGGTGTTCTCACTCGTGCAATGCGACTTCTGGCAATTGCATCACGTTTTGCGATCTGTTTCAGGGTGTCATTAATTTAACATTGAAGCATGCACCAGATCGCATGAATGCCACGCAAATGCGGTGCGGGAAACGCACAGGATTTGCAGCGTTTCCTGCAGCCCATCAGTGTGAGCCTGGTCTAAGGGACGGGGCCATGCTGTTTGCAAGGAAAAAAAGGTAAATAAAAAAAAATGCCTGAGTCCTCGGGAGGAGTGGAGAAGGGGGGTACTTGATATAGAAGGTGAAGGTCCACTTTAAGTGGACCAGTGACAAAGGAAGCTGCAGTGCTGAACCTGAAATATGGGTGTTTCTTGGCTGTCTGTGCAGTGTGGCAGAGGTATGTAAAGGCAAGACTGAGTTAAGAGTTACAAATCCGTTGTCTGCTAAATATTCACAAAATGTATGTCAGATGTATATTTAGCAGCTTTTTTTCTTAGTTTTAAAACCGTTTATTGCCCCCCTCATATTTTTTGTTATACCCATCATTGTGTACATCACATCCTACTAGGTTATACAGCTTTTTCCTGTGTATGTTAATCTGTTATGATAATGTCTTTATAGCTGTGGGTGCAGCATATGCTATAAAACGTGAAAATGCAGATCGTGTCGTCATTTGCTACTTTGGTGAAGGTGCAGCAAGTGAAGGAGATGCCCATGCTGCTTTTAATTTTTCTGCAACATTGGAGTGTCCAGTGATCTTCTTCTGTAGGAATAATGGATATGCCATATCGACCCCAACCTCTGAGCAGTACCGTGGGGATGGCATTGGTGAGTATTACATGTAGACCATACTGTACACCTGGATCAAAATCTGATATATTGAATATATTAACTTTATTTTGATTATTGTATTTTCTTGTTGTGCTGTTTTACTTTGTGCTCTGTAATGTGTATAACATACATGTTCCAAGTCGCAAATAAAGGAGAGTTGGTGGACTGCTAATGCTGCCTGTAAACACTGCAGCTATCTTAAAAAGTTTAAAAACTTTTTTCTTTCCCATACTTTTTTTTTTTTTCTTTGCTCTTACCTTTTCTGCTGGGTTGTCCTCATAAAATATACTTGTGCCCCCAGTGAATCCAGCATTGTTTTGATGTTATCTACTGGTCTGCTTTTGTATGTCAGGTCCTATGACCCCTTTCTTCTCTTACATCATCAGGGGGCTGTTTGTCTCTTCTTGGTTCCTGCAGCCATCCCCTTCATGATGCACTGCAATGCATAGGCAATGTAATGTAGATTGCCTTGAAGCCTTCTGAGATACATGATGTAAGTATCCCAGGCGGCTTCAGGCAACAAGGCTAGGCGAGAAAGTCGGGAGCACAGGGTGTGTTCCAAGAAAAAAAGTGCTGTGCCACGCTGTGAGGTGTGTGAGTTAACCAAACATTACTGGTCTGCAGTTTTGACACAGAGAAAAAAGGATACTGACCGGACAAGTCCATAGATAAAAAGGCAGCTAGCTACACAGGATGAATGCCAGAATGATAAACCTGACAGGTATCTTGTATATCCCCTCCTTACCCTACCTTATTCTGTTCTGAATGTACAACAGTGTACCTTAACGTTTATTCTATTATTGCAGCTGCTCGAGGTCCTGGTTATGGAATCCTGTCTATTCGAGTGGACGGAAATGATGTCTTCGCAGTGTACAATGCGACCAAAGAGGCAAGGCGCAGAGCAGTAGCAGAGAACCAGCCATTCCTCATAGAGGCTATGACGTACAGGTAATTTAGGAATGCGCTGGATATGTGGGAGGGATGGTTGCTCAGGGAAAAGGGCTGACCCCTATGCGATTGTTATTTGAAGGATTGGACATCATAGCACCAGCGATGACAGTTCTGCCTACCGGTCAGTGGATGAAGTCAACTACTGGGACAAACAGGATCACCCCATTTCTCGGCTTCGTCACTACATGATGCACAAGGGCTGGTGGGATGATGAACAGGAGAAAGTATGGAGAAAAAAGTCCCGCAAACTGGTGAGATGATCTCCATATATAATAGTTAATGGTCATGACAACTTTCCACCTATTTGATTTACTTTCTACATTTACAAGAACCATACTAACTTAAGTAGCTGGCTGTAAGTGAGCTAAAGCCCAATGGCATCAAACTATTACTATCAATTTTTTTTTTTTTTTGCATGCAGTGCTGGATGTGTGTACATAGCAGCGCACATTTTGTGTGTTTACAAGTAATCCTGCTGAGCTACATCCTTTTTCTTATTCCTCAGGAATATTTGCTAGCTTGTTTAAAAAGCCGCCCGGCCAATGGCCGTTTTCGGCTTCAAAAACAGTGCATCGGCATTCCTCTCCTAATGGGTGCAGCTACGCCATTTGGCGTTGCGCCCGCACATTATGCAGTTTGCGCTAATGCAGAGCCTCGCAGCGGCGCGATCTGTCACCGGGCCCGTGTACCTCGGACACGGCCGATGACAGATCTGAGTACCGGCCCCCCGTTGCTGGTACCTTCCACCTGTGACCTGCTGTGACCAATCACAGCACTCACATGACAGTGTATACAATTTGATGGCTTCATTCATGCCATCCATTGTATACTAGTGCCTAGCTGTGAATGGTCACAGCTAATCACATGCACATGTCATGTGATTAGCTGTGACCAAATCACCGCTAATGCACAAAAAAAAAAAACCTTTAGACTGTATGAATCGATTTATTCAGATGTAAATGCTTGCTTATAGCAAAGTATATTGTAAAGCGCTGCTATAAGCAAATTGCGCTGTATAAAAAAAAAAAAAAATATGATCACTTCCCCAAAGTAGTACAAAGTGTTACTATGGTAACATTGTACTACTTTGGGTCATAGAAAAATATGAAAAAAAATCTTAAACAAAAAAAGGGGTAAAAAATGTAATAAATTAAAAATAATAAAAAAATATATATATTTTTTTTTTTCATACTGTCGCCAGTCAGTGTCCCTATTCACTGCCATGCCATACGAGGGTAAGAGGGCCCTACTCTTACGAGCTTACAATCTAGGAGGGAGGGGGTATGATGACGCTGTACTGCACTGGTGACAGTATGTAAAAAAAAAAAAAAAATTGTTTTGAAAATAATTTTTTTAGGGAAGGCGACAGTCTGAATTTTTTAATTTTGAGTTCCAGAGGATGAAAAGTCCTGCATGACAAAAAAAAAAATACAACTTCAAAAAACTCGATTCCTCTTATGAAGTACGTCGGACTGTCTACTCTGCAAAAAGGGGTCATTTGGGGGTATCTGTACTGTTCTGACATTCTTGGACCTCAAGAAATTAGATTGGCTGTCAGTACTTCAGGATTGATCAATTTTCAGATCTATACCATAGTTTGTAAAGCTGCTATAACTTTCCTACAGACTAAATTAATACATCTAATTTGGGTTTTTTTCACCAAAGACATGTAGCAGAATACATCTTGGCCTAATGAGTGAAGAACAATTATTTATTTGTAAACTTTTATAACAGAAACAAAGAAAAAAAACATGTTTTTGTTTTTTTTTTTTCAAAATTTCTGTTCTTTTTTTGTTAATTTAGCAAAAAATAAAAACCCCAGCTTTCAGCTGATTATATCCAACTCACAACTAATTTCATCCTGTAAACCAGTTTAAAAGAAGTGATTAAATACCAGCAAAAGAAAGCTCTCTGATACTTCCTTCTAACAGTTGTGGAAGAAAATGATAAAATTTTAGTTTGGGTACAATGTTGTATCACCGCGCAATTGTCATTCAAGGTGTTTCTTCGCTGAAATGTGAAAAAATGGCCTGGGCAGGAAGGGGTGCAAAATTGCACGGTATTGAAACTTTTAAAAAAAAATTAAGGTTTTTGCACTCAAAAAACAGAGTAACCACACTTTCCTCTCCTAATGAATGAGAAACAGCTACAGATCATTGTGGAACCTTGGAGAGTCTAAGGCAGTGATTATGTAAAAGGTCGTTTTTCATGCAAGACATCAGAAAGTAACTAGGGTAAGACTTAAAAGGCCACTTTTAAAGTGAGTCTGTGATAACACAGTGGCTAAATGGTTAGCACTTCCAGCTGGCAGTACAAGGGTCGTTGGTTCGAATCCCAGCCACTGCACCACCTGCCTGGAGTTTGCATGTTCTCCCTGTGCCTCCTTTTGGGTTTCCTCTAGGCACTCCAGTTTCCTCCAGGTACTCCAGCTACCTCCCACACTCCAAAAACATGCTGGTTAATTGGATCCTGTCTAAATTGTCCCTAGTATGTGTATGTATGAATGTAAGTTAGGGACCTTTAGACTGTACGCCCCTTGAGGGTTATGAACTGATGTGAATGTACAATAGTACAATATATATGTAAAGCGCTGCGTAAATTGATGGCGCAAAACTATATGTACCTGAAATAGATAAATAACAGATATGTAGGAGCTGCCAATGTTGGCTTATTAAAGTACAGGTTCTGTCAGCTGATTGTTCAATAATGAGTGACAGAATTGAAACTAGCAAAATAACACCCCTGGTCTCCTTGTTTATTCTACTCCCCTAATTTCATCCTGTAGAAGTTTAAAAGAAGTCTGGCAATCTATTTTTGCAGAAAAAGACTTCTCCAGCCCCCCCCCCCATGGCAGGTTCTATGACCAAATGTGTAGGCATTGGTTATGTGATCTTGACTAAAGAGGTTTAGCGAAATGCCATTCAGGCCCAAAATCTGATACTTCCTTCTAACAGAAATCTTACAATCAGTGGCCAGAAGTTTGGTGACACGACTTGTAGCTTTGGAGGAACATTTTTTCAGGACATGTATTTGAGGGTTTCCCTTTTCTTTTTTTTTTTTTTTTTTTTTTTTTTTTTTAACAAACAATTTATTTAGAAGCACTTGCATTTTACCTGCATTTTTATGCGTTTTTTTTTTTTTTTTTTTAATCAAGTAATTTTTATTAAGGTGATTTAGCATTTTTATACAAACAAAATCAGCAAACACTACATATAAACGTTATCATGGAGCAATGTTATGCCAAAACCATTTGTCACGTAAATCTGGAAATGATTTGAACAAGAATAAAAAAAGTCAATGAGAAAATTATTACAACAGATGGGGCTATAGGCCTTCTAGCCAGAACTTATTTTTGTTCTAGATAGATATCGTGCAAAAATTACGTCACTTATATGCAAGATACTCAGAGTCATTATAGTCAAAAATACAACTCTTCTCCTATCTCACTATTCCAGACAAAACTAAAGACCTTTTAGAATAAGTAATACCGTATCTGATATACCAGATATCTAACTCTCCACAGCTGTCCCCATGGATAATGATGAAAATGTGGAATCATTAGACTCCAACCACAGAGACCAGACCATATTTTTCCTAAATTTTTTGGGACAGTTCCTATCCTTGTATGTTAGCTCCTCCCTCCTGAAATTAAAATTGAGAACGCCAACCATTGACTATTATGATGGTGGCATAGGGGAGATTCATTTTTTGAAGGATAAGTTTACAGGCTAAACATAGGGATTTAATCCATAATAAGTACATCTCAATGGGGAGGATGTCCTCAGACACTATGCTCCCTAATGCAATTTTGTGATCAAACTGCACCTGCATGGAACAGATGGAAATAAGAGTGTTAAGGAGTTAAGGACCAAACACCAGTTTTGGTGAAGTTTAGGGCAGCGCCACAACATATGGATAAGTGATACTGTTATCTAAGTGACATTTTGAGGCACAATGGAGATTCTATCCTTCCCCAGGAGTGTAGCTTTAGTGGGGTATAATGCACTCTATGAATTATAAACAGTTGTGTCAGGTGTTGTGATGGGGATAAAGATACTTGTGAAAGGGATTTCAGTGTCTGAGCCCATTCCTCGTCCTCTATTATTCAAGATCTCCTGTCACTGCAATAAACTGTGTATCTGGGATGCGAGCACTAATAGACTTTGTAGAGAGGAGTACAGATCCCAATGAGACCTCTCTTTGGGCAAGATGTGGATACCACCATAGTCAATGGTATGGAAGGGTTATATAAAATAGGAATGTTATCAGGCATAGAATAACTAAACCTGGAGATATTTAAAAAAAAAAATGTATTGGGTATATGATATTGGTCTATCATTGCTCTAAAGGGCAAAAATATAGCCTTATTATACAATTGATGGAGAAGCCAGAGCCCAGACTGTTTCCAAAGATCAAAACCCTCAAGTTGTCACTTCTGATAACTGGGGGTTATTCCAAATAGGCATATATTGAGTATACCCCTAATGCTGGCTATGGTTAGACACAGTCCCATACCTTGTGTATGAAGTTAAAAGTAGGAAAGGAGTGTTTTTTTGATAAAAATTATGAGAGAATAACAATTGTACCGGTGGGGCACTAATAAACTGAGATAGAATAATACACTGGATTTGGTCTGCTGGATCTAGCTTATTCCAGCCATACCAATTTTGCATCTGTGACACTATAAAAGTATAATCTGGCATTAGGTACAGCCAGGCCCCACCCCCATCCTTGGGCAATTGTAATGTGGAAAGCCGTATTCTGGGATGTCTGCAAAAAAGAGTTGTGGAAGCAACACTGGGCAGTTATGTAAAATATAGAGCATCCTAATTAAATTAGCCCTGCTAGTGACCGTTGGAGGCAATTTACACCATGTTTTGCCCGTATGTTTTTTTAACCTATGGAATAAGGGTTCCAAATTACGTTCCATGTAGTCAGTCACCTAAGGGGTGACCAAAACTCCTAAATATTTGAAGGAGGGCACAACCGATATCTGCTTAGCAATTGGGGGTAGATCTAATGGAAGGGGGGGGGTCCAGTGGTAAAAGAACTGACTTGTCCCAATTAATAGTAAAACCTGAAAATGAACCATATATATTGATAAGATACATTACTTCAATTAAAGAGGAGGAAGTATCCCACAAAAAAATAAGCTGTCATCAGCACATAATGCTATTTTGTCCTCCCCTGTAGACCTTTTGAATCCTATGATATTAGAGGGATTGACTGATTGCTGCTGGCAAGGGTTCCAAAGCCAATGCAAAAAGGAGGGGATATAATAGACATCCCTATCTTGTACCTCTATATAGTGGGAAAGAGTCCGAAACATGCCCATTAATTTGTACTCAAGCTGTTGGCACTACATAGAGAAGTTTAGATCCATTGTAGAAATTTGGGCCCAAACACAAACTTCCTTAGACAATGCCATAAGAAACTCCATTCTATACTATCGAATGCTTTTGCTGCATCAAGTGATAATACTTCTCTATTGCCATAATTATTTGTAGGGATTTGCAAATTCAGGGACAATCTTCTAATATTTATGGAAGTCAATCTAGTTGGAATGAAGCCCGACTGATCTGGATGAACTATTTTGGAAATTATATTCGATAATCAGACGGCCAACATTTTAGACAGAAGCTTAATGTCTGAGTTAAGTAACGAAATCGGGCGATAAGAATCTGGAATGCTGGGGTCCTTGCCAGGTTTGGGTATTACAACAATGATAGCCTCATTCATAGATGGAGGCAAGGTCCCCAGCATCAAAAGCAGTATTGTATACCTCCAACAGTTCTGGTAAAAGGAAATCTCCATAAGTTTTATATACACCTCACTCGGGAGGCCATCAATCCTTGGGGCCTTATTAGTAGACATACTAGTAGCAATGAATTGTAGCTCTTCTAAGGTCAGTGGCTCTCTCTCCAGAACAGACAGACAGTAATTTAATAGAATTAAGAAACGTCAAGTTGTCCTCAGAATAGGATACCTTACTACTGTACAGTGACCTAAAAAAAAAAAAAATCACAAAAGACTCGAGATCTCCGGAGTGGAAGTTAACACAAGAGCCAGGGGCCTCCAAAGCTCAGAAACATAGGCTGGAGAACTCTGTGCTTTCACTATAGTAGCTAACAAGTGACCTGTACTTTCCCCCCTCCTCAAAGTAGGGCTGTTGGAGAAAAAAAAAGCGTTTCTGTTCTGCTTTCTTGAGGGAGACAGAGGCATAAGCCTTCTGCGGTTGTTCCTATTCATGTTGGTTAACTATCGTGGGGTCAGTAATATATCTAACCTCCGGCCTGTACAACTTGAGTAGTTAAATCATGTTCCCGCTGCTTAGATCGCTGCTTAATACTAGAAATTTCTGCTATAAGGACACCTCTTGGGTAGGCTTTCAATGAATCCCAATATATTAAGGAGGGCACGGTTGGTTTGTTGATGACACTATATTCTTGGAGGTCAATCAGTATACCTTCTGGCAGGGGAAGGAGAGTCAACTAGTAAGGATTCACTTTCCAAAAGGTCCGAATAGGATTTGACCTCAAACAGTTTTAGGACCAAAGGGGAGTGATCAGAAAAACCTCTAGCCGCATAGGCAATATCAAAGATCAAGGGCAGTAGTCAAAGCTGTCTATTCTTGACAGGGTTTTATGGGTATGTGAGAAGCACGCAAAGTGCTTCTAAGTATGGTGTCGTAGCCTCCAAATATCTACCAGTCCAGTCTCCTGATTATATTTAGCAAAGGTAGTGGTTTATGATGGCACTGGTCCCGCAGCAGGGCCTATACTTATCCAGAGATTGGTCACCATAATTATTGAAGTCCCCTACTAACAACCAAGGGACATCTGACTTATCTGAAGTAAACTTTAGGAAGTCACTAAGGACGTCAGGTGAGTAGGGAGGAGGATATAGTTATTAGCCACCAAATATGGTTTCCTAAACAATGTGCAATCCAAATAAATATACCTCCCTTTTTGTATTGTGCTGGACCTGACTGCAGGAGAAGTCCACCGCATTAGCTATTAAGATAGACCCTCCTCTAGAATAAGAGGTATCAAGTAAAATGATATTGTGTACTATAAGTAGAGCGTTTCAGATATTTAAGAGTATCTAAGTAAAAGGTGGTCTTCTGCAAACAGATCACAGAAGGAGAATGACATTTTAGAGTAGCAAACACAGTCCTCTCACATTCCAAGATATTAAAGTGACAGTCAAGGTACCCATAACCGTTAGCAAAAATCAAAGTATGATAGAAAAGTAGGAAGCCCCACGCCATGGAACAGAGTGAGAGTTCAGAGAGTATACAATCACCGCTTTGAAGGGACCAACTCTTACTGCTTTGGAGATTATCTGGCTCATAAACCTCTGAGAATGGCACGATCTCTGGTCCCTACAATCAAATATTTTGAAGGATCAAAAAATACAGCAAACCAAAAGTCATCAAAAAGGACAAAATAACTGAAAACATTAAAAAGAAGAAAAAATATAAACAGCCTATAAAATAACTCACTCCTCGCAGGAGCCACTGCCTGGGGGGGGGCGCATGTGACCAGGAAGAGAACCTGTGTTGCACGCTCCTTTACTGGGCACTGTATAAAAAACCTAGAACAGCAACACTATTTGCAATGTTGCTATCCATCTGCCTAGGCCGAGCTTCACAGAACTTCTGAAAGAAGCAGAAGAAAATCTTCATCGGGGTAAAAGGTGGGTTGGAAGAGCAACAGAGTCGCTTATATTCATCTAGCCACTGGGCAGCTGCAGCTGTCGTATCAAAGTAGGTAGTATTATGATCAGCAACCGCAGCCTAGCTAGATATAACGTGGAGTAACTAAGATCCAATTGGCGCATCCTTCTCTTCACATCAGAATACTTTGCACGTTGGAACTGCACTTCCACAGAAAAGTCAGGAAGAAAATTTGCGAACCATCTTCGGAGATAGACCCTCTCTGTCTTGCCTTCTGTAGAATGATGTCACAAACTTGATAATTAAGCATCTGTATGAGAGAGGTTCTAGGAGGTGCTCCCACTCTATGCGCCCTCTCTACAGCAAATAACGGAAAACTTTCAAAATGTAGTTTTTTAAGCCAGTTTTCCACAAAGTCCATCAGGTTCTTACCCTCCGTTCTTTCAGGCAGACCCACAATTCTAACATTATTCCGGCATAAACGATTTTCAAAATCCTCCAATTGGAAGTCATGAATGGCTGGCTAGTTTCTGGGTGGTAGATTGCATAAAGAGAGTCCTCCAACACACAAAATTCTGTCTTCCACAGCAGTAACCCTTTCTTTAAAGTTGCGTAAATCTTGTCCAAGTAAAGAAATATCTTTCCTCATGCCTTCAAAGCCCTGGCTTAGAGTAGTAAGAGAGCTATTACAGGATGCGACCGCTGACATAATATCTATTAATGTCAGTTCTATATCATCACTAGGGATGGAGTCGGAGTCTGCAGCAGGGTTACTTACTGCACCCTCAGGAATAGGCCATGTGGCTGCGTCCTCCTCCCAGGCCAGAGAATCGAAGGCCGAGGAAGTAGCTAGCCCTGCTGGGGGTGCTGATGTACTGGGGCCGCCAGAATCCTTAGCTGTGTCTGGGCAAAGCTTTGGTTGTGTCACACAGCTTCTCCTTGACTGCGCGCTGCAGCTGAGGTCCGGCACCACCTTGAGCAGAGCAGTCGGCCGCCAACCCTTCTTCCCTGTTCTTCTTTGTCATGAGTCCGGAGCAAGAAAAATGAGCACTAGGAGATCTGGGTGAGTCAGAAAAGCGAGGGTGTACAATCTAGCCCGGTAAATCAGGATGTAGGATGAGGAATTCAGGATGGGAAAAAAGAGCTCTAGCTCAGACGTCCACTCACATCGCTGCCCAAGCCACACTCCTCCCTTTATGCACGTTTTCCTTTCCTTTTCATAAAAAATACAGTAAAATCATTTTTAGCAGACACAAACACAACATAACTTACAAAATGCCTGCTTAATCTAAAAAATAAAACTTTATTGCGTATGTGAATGGGTGCTGTGACCTGAACAGCGTGAAGCAGATTTTTTTTTTTTTTTTTTTTTTTTATGGCTGGAACTGCTATGGGGACACAGCAACTGCAAAAACACAGCCGCAGGCCCTATTTACACGTGTGGAGATGCATGTGTATGGCCCCAAACAGACATTTGGGGCCACTCACCCATACATGCATACCGGTCAAATTAGGACCTACAGCTGTACAGCTGCTGCATCCCTATAGAGTAACAGGCTTCTTTTTTTCTTTCATAATGCTTTAGGGGGGGGGCAGTGGATGGTGTCAGTAGGTCAATAGACCATGTCAGTAATTTTTTTTTTTTTTTTTTTTTTTTTTTTTACAAGTTAATTTTATTATTTAATTTCTTTTAAAAGCCCTGTTGGGGGGGATGAATGAAGAGGGGACAAAGACTCCTGAGCATTCACAAATTGAAGCAGAGTAAACAGTTTTCTATGCTTCAGTTATGATGAATGAACAGTCTGTGATCAATACCAAACTTCATGGAGAGCCATAAAGAGAGATCAGTGCTTGTAGTTGCCCTCCCCCCATGCCACACCAGTCAGCTTAGATTGTCCGACTCCCCCCTCCTGCACAGGTTTTCTGTGTGTTTTGGCACAGTTCACATGCAGAGTGGTGTGGAAACCTGCAGCAATGGTGGCAACAGCTGTGAACAGGGCACTCTCTGTGTGCCCGTACAAAGAGCTGCGTTTTTCTCATGCACAAAATGTAGCGCTCTGCTATTGTTTGATTTGGGCCGTATAGGTTGTCATGGCTATGTGGTGGTAGTTTTGGAGTTGGCGATTAATAGTTACTAACCAGGTGCCAATTGACTATGGAAGCTTATTTTTGCTGTAGAGTTCAGCATCTTTGCATCCCTATGCCCATGACAGCAAATGTATTTTTCTTTTGTAGGTGATGGAAGCTTTTGAAGAGGCTGAACGTAAACGTAAGCCCAAACTCGAATACCTTTTCAGTGATGTCTATGCAGAGATGCCACAACATATTAAAAAACAGGAAGAGGCTCTGGCGAAACATTTGAAGGTGTATGGAGAGCATTACCCTCTGGACAGCTATGAGAAATAACCAGACCACAGATCTATCTGTAAAGTTACTGTTACTCTAAGATTTTTGTTACAGATGGCACAACACTCCGGGCCATGTCACCTCCTCAGGGCAGCCCATTCCGCCTTTTCATTTTTATGGAGTACATTTTTGTGGAAGCTGTATATAAAGGTATATGGGGTGTGGACTGTTTTTAACATAATTAGGTATATGGAGGTGTAGAGACTATGAGCAGTGTCTGACAGTTGGAGAGAAGAGTTGCTGCTCTGAATAACAAACTAGTACTGAAGAACATTCTAAATATCTAACGGTGGAGGAACTGTAAGAATGTTGCTGTGAATAAATTTCTTACAGTGCTTGTGTGTCATTTGCTGTAAATCCTAGCTCAGTTATTTTCATTCTACAACTCCTTAGTAAATGCTAAGTTCACAACTGATATACATCGCTCTTAAATACAAAAGGATGAGTAAGATAATCAAAGAAGAGGCCACATTGAGTATATGCAGGAGTCTTCTGACTCGGGGGTCTCCAAACTTTTCAATATGAGGTCCTCCTGATGTACTTTTGCAAGAATTTGTGGGGTGATAAAAAAAAAATCCATATGAGTGTGCTCACCAGATTCCCCCCTCCCTTACAGTGGGGTCCTCACCAGAGATGCCCCCCCTTACATCAGAGTCTCCATCAGAATCTCCCCCTTACATCAGAGACCATCAGCAGTCTCTGCTGACCTTAGTCCACAATCGGTGCACACTGAGGATAGGCCAGTAACCCTAGCTGTGGTCTGGATGTGGTCCACAAGCCATAGTTTGGAGACTACTGTTCTAAGTAATATACATTCTTAAAGCGGAACTTCATTCTTTCAATCAGTATTGACAATTTTGAATCCTTATGCTGCTAGCATTAGTAAATAGATAAGCACACCCTCCTGCCAGAGCTAAGGGCAGATGGATTCCAGGAAGTAATTGCTACATGAATCGTGCACTTACTCAAGATGGCCAAGGACAGAACTGCTAAGGGTGGTTTTCAAAGTGATTTCTTAGCAAAAATAAAGCATGGAGACATGGATGGGTGAGTTTTTTTCTTTGAATGTAAAAAATAAAGTTTTGGTTTCTGATGTTTATACACCGTGTAGTTCCACTTTAAGGCTTAGTATAGCAATTACAAAAATTATATCTGAAATGAGGATGACATAGTGTATTACAATATTTTTATCTTGTTAAATTTGTACCGTGATTTTTACTTATCGAAGTGTGGGACTCCGGGAAATAAAGATTGCCCCTGGCAGTGGGTTCCCCTCCCCCCTGCAAGGGTTATTTTTGCCTAGGATATAATGAATAAGGTGACTACTGTCCATATTCCCTGCTCCCTGACTGTCGGTGCTCTGCACTGCTGTCCAACGCTTGAATGTGAGCAGCAGGCCCTCGGCATTCTCCTAGACAATACAGGACTGTTGGTCCTGTATTGTCTACGGTATGATGTCAGACTATGGACATAGAGGACAATGAAGAAAAAGGCTTTAGTGGGCTGAGTGCATGAAGAGGAAGAAGCTGGGGGAGCAAGGTAAGTATATTATTCTTAGGCAAAAACAAGCAATTAACCCTTGCCGTTGGTAGAAGAAACCTACTGAACTGGTAACTTTTTTTTTTTTTTTTTCCCCCATGGAGTTCAGCTTTAAAAAGTGAAATGAGGCATTTACTTAGTCAGCCATAGAAAAGATTGGGGGTCTTAAAAATTTTGAAACCACTCTCACAATCCAGAAATGTTTATAGTTTCCTGTGAAAGAACATGCTTTATGGTTAAATGTTGATGGGTGTTCTAGTCATATGCATACACCAATTAACATTATAACCACCCATCAAGGCATGGACTATGCTAGACCTCTGAAGATATCTTGTGGTATTTAGCACCAAGCCAGCAGTAACAGATGCTTTAAGTCCTGTAAGTTGCGAGGCAGGGTGTCCATGGATCATTGTTTTTTAAGCACATCCCATAGTTTGTTGATTAGATTGAGATGTGGAGGCCAAGTCAACACCGTGATTACATTGCTGTGTTCCTCAACCTGTTCTTGAATTTATCAGACCAGGCCATCTTCTTCCATTGCTCTGTGGTCCAATTCTGATGCCCATTGTAGGTGCTTTTGGCTGTTGAGACAAGTCAGTCTGGACATTCTAATCAGTATGAGCTATACAGCCCCATACACAACAAACTGCAATGTACTGACAACACCTTTCTATCAGAACCAGCTATTAACCCCCCCCCCCACCCCAACACATGCATCAAGGAAGCATGGCAGTCCGTGACTGAACACAGGCTGCAGCTGTGATGTTTTGCTTTGCAGCTATAACATTTTTAATTAGGGCTGCAGAGTTTAACAGGCAGCATCACCTGTCAAACTCACCCAATGAGATCAATGGGGCCACGCAGCAACTAAGAGCCAAACGCTTAGCTCACTGTGTGCTTCCACAATATAAAACTGTCATTCTGCAATTTAAAATAAAATAAAAAATTTGTAAGGAGGTGGGAGTAGTACTTCCTGAATGTCTGTCAGCTGCTGCTTTACTGCCCTGCAGTAAGTGATCCACAATAGTGTGAAAGAATCCTGACTGATGGATTGGATAGACTCTCACATAGTGGTGGAATCAGAGGACAGGCATTCAGAGCTGACGTAAAGCTGGAAGCACCAATAGCAAATGAGTTGTTCCTAGAACATAGTTGTTGGCAGCTACGGGATGATTTACTAAAGACAAAGAAATGGTGCACTTTGAGAGTGTAGTTGCTTCAGCGCTTAGTAAATGAGGGGAAGCTTCACTTTACAAAGAATAGCCAATTGCATGCAGGGACATTTTTTTAAAAAAATTAATTTTTGCCTGCACATGCCTGGATGATGGAAATCAGCAGAGCTTCCCCTCATTTACTAAGCTCTGGAGCAACTGCACTTGCAAGGTGTACAGCCCATTTCCCTTTAGTAAATCAACCCAAATGAGTTGTACACTAAGGGGCAGTCTAATGAATTCAAGCAAAAACAAAAATTAAAAAGAAAGGAAATAGAGCAACTTTTTATGATTCAGAGCTTGACTGGAGCTAATCTTCAGGTAAATAAAGATAGTGTGGACTCGTGCTTTGATCATCAAACCACACTAGAATCTGGCATTTAAAAAATAAAATAAAACAATTTATTTTATGGAAGCAAAGTCTGTGTTCTGTTCTTTTTTTCGGTTCATTTCATGGGCATGCTGGTACAAAGTCCATATACATCCTGCAATATAATTCTAGAGTTGTTATAAAGTATTCTCTTTCAAACCTCTACTGTAGAGAAAGAGACTTATGTACTGACAAACTGCTGGCAGGAGCTGAATGAAGGCACCTAGTGGTATCTAAACAAAGTCACATCCTTCAGCCCCAAAAACCAGGATCTCTATCATACCAACACTTCCAAGACCTGAGGATGAGATGAGGCCCACACTTTGCTGCCCCCTCACTAGTTTTCTATTCCTATGATGGATAGCGCACTTGCCAAACAGGCAAAAGAAAGTGGGACGGGGCCCCACTTGGCATGGGTTCCTAAAGCTAGGTTTGAGCAGTTAAAGTGTTACTAAACTGACAACAGTAAAATTTGTGTATGCAGTAAAGCATGCTTGTTATACTCACTGTGGAACCTAAGGGGTTAATCCTCTGCAATGTGTAAAAAGACTGTTTGATCCGGTATTCTCTGATCCACCCCTTCTGTCCTCAGCCCATATGCTGCTTGTATAGAGCTCTAGGAGGCACTCTGCACATGCTCAGTTTATTGTGTATTGCTAGAGAGTTTTTCTATGGGAGGGTGTGTGTGATCAACACAGGGCCAATCAGCACTGTCCAGACAGAGGGTCTGGCATTATGCAGCCTCATAGGACAGTCAGAGGAGAATGAAACCTCCTTCTCCAGGCCTAACCAGTGCTCAGATGGACACTGATAAAAGCCACAGGACTGCTATATACTGCTAATAAGAAAAGATATTTACTAAAATAATTGCACTTCCATGTTCAGTGTACTGTGGGAGACCAGATATAGTGAATGCAGGGTCCGGGGTTTAGTAAAACTAACTTTATCCTGCAGTTTATTAATCTTCAGTACAGGTACACTTTAAGCTGTTAATAGTGATACAATGACAGAATGATCTTTCATAGCATGGTGATGCAATTGATTAAGGCAGACTGGAGCCCTAGGCACTGTTGAAGTTTTATCCCCACGCCTTTGATTAACATTGACAAGGATTGCAATCGAGTACACACTGGCAAGCAACCACATTTGGATTGTCAATACTACCATGGTCTCATTAGATACCAGCTGCCTACAACTGCATCATCCCATGTAAAGCGCCAAGCAGGTGCATAGCTTAGTCCTGTAGTCTTCAACCTAAGGCCTGCAAGCCAGCTGAAACCCTTTGCTTGCCTTTATCCCTTGATGTACTATTCCTTTCACTGACACCAATGATAGGGCATTATTCCTTCCACTGACACCAACAGGACTATTACTTTCACTGATATAAATGATGGATTCCTCCCTTTAATATCAATTATGAGACATTATTGCTCCCACTGACACGAACACAGGGAATTATTCCTCCCACTACTAGCAAAGATGGGACACCATTTCTCCTCCTGCTACCCACAGGCATTATGTAATTTTTTTTTACTCCCACTGTCCGTCAAGACTGAGGCATTGTTTTACTCCAACAGGTGCTTGGAGTATTTTCTTTTCCCACTAGCCAGTCTGCCCTCCCTACAGGCTGAAGGACAGTAATCTGGCCCTTTGTAGGAGTATAAAGGTTGTAGCTGTGCCCCCTGGACTTTCACCAAGCACCCACCTAGGATGGCTTGTAAATGATTTGGTGCCAGGGACTCTGTCATAGCGGCAAGGAGCAGGTCCTCTGGCATCATAGCAGGAAAGGGATAGGGCCTCTAACAGCAGCGTAAGGGCGGCAGAGGCTTTGAAATCATAGCGGGAAGGGGGCTGGCCTCTGTCAGCGTAAAGGTGGCGTA